ACCTGCAGCAGGGGCCGGGGGCTCAGCCAGAACCGGGGCGCCCGGTGCAGCTGGTTCGTCTGGATGACAAAGGCAGCCTGATCCTGTACGAGGAGGCCCTGAGCCTCTGCCTGGAGCAGGGTGGGGTGGGGGACGCCCCCGTCTGCCTGGTGTCCATCATCGGGGAGCAGCGCCGGGGAAAATCCTTCCTGATGAACTGCTTGCTGCGCCGGCTCCAGAGCCCGGTGGGTGGGGACAGGAGCCCCAGCTATAGCCCCATCGCCTGAACCAGAGACCCCACCCACCCCAGCCAGGGCCCTGCCTCTTGCAACACAAACCCCACCCACCTCGGCAAGGGCCCCCTCCACGACTGGCATGCCCCCTACAGCAAAGGTCCCCTCTCCCCAGGCAGGGCCCTCCCGCTGTACCAGGCCCAGGGCAGAGCAACTGAGGCCCCACCCTGCAGCCATGGTCCCTCCCCGTGCACCACAGGCCCCACCCTCATGTCGTGGCCCCTCCCCCTGCACCACAGGCCCCACCCTTCAGTCATGGCCCCTCCCCCTGCAGCACAGGCCCGACCCTCCAGCCATGGCCTCTCCCCATGTACCACTGGTCCCATCCTCCAGCTGTAACCCCACCCCCAGACCCTTAGAATTCCACCTCCTCCCCCGGTGTCCCACCACCCTGCCCCCTGAAAATGCCAGACCCAGTCCCCGTTCCCTTCTGACCTTGCCCTGGTCACCCCCTACAGGAGGCTGTGGATGCGTCATGGATGGGCCGAGAGGACGAGGCCCTGGGGGGGGTTGAGTGTCACAATGGGACAGCGACCGTGACGAGGGGCGTGTGGATGTGGGACCAGCCCCTCTGTGTCCAAGCCCAGGGGAGGAGGGTGAGTGGGGCAGGGAAGCAGGCAGGGGAATGGGGGATGGGGCAGTAGGGGAGGGGAATGAGGGTGGTGTGGGGGGAAGATTCTAAGGGGAGCAGGGGGCTGGAGTAGTCGGGGGGAGGGGAATGGAGGAGTCTGGAGGGGGTAAAGTCCTGTGCAGGGGCAGGGGGACAGGAGGGACTGGAGGAGGGGGGTGGATCTGTCATTATGTCTGTCCCTGCAGGTGGCCGTGTTCCTGGTGGACACCGAGGGCTCCCTGGACCTGCAGCGCCGCATGGAGACCAGCATCAAGCTCTCCGTGTTGGGCATATTGCTCAGCTCCTACTGGGTGGGGGAGCCGTGCTGCGGGGGACGGGACTGAGGGCTCTGCAGGGGGTACCGTGCTGTGGGGAGCGGAGTGAGGGGGCCAGCAGGGGGGCTGTGCTGCGGTGGGGTGAGGTGTGGGGTTGGCAGGGGGGCTCACCTTTTCTTATTATTATTTTCCAGATCTTTAACATTTCCAGTACGTTTAAGCAGACGGAGGCAGATTATTTGGAGGTGGGTGGGGCAGAGGATACACACAGCTCTACTGACACGGACCTGCCAGCCAGGTGTCTGCTGGGGGAACCCAAGACCCTGGGTGATGTAGGGATTGGAGGGGGGCAGTCTAGAGGCTGTTATTGATGTTTAGAAAGTCCCAGAGATCTTGCCCCAGGCTGGGATTCGAGCATTGAGTCTGAACAGTAATACGTGAGCAGTAAGTAATCAAATATTAGTGACTGTCATATTTCTGGTTCTTTATCATTACCTGGTGGCTATTTGTCATTAACCGATTAGCTCTGGTTCTCACTGCTGAGTGCTGGACCTGCGGGGGGGCTGGTGGAGAAGAGACTTTTGTGTCCCGGTTCACTCCCGTAAGTGATCTGAAATGCTCCTGCAGACTCAGGTCTCTGGGAGGGTCAGGTAGCCTTGTGGTAGCTTTGGTGACCCAGAGCTGAGGTGGGTGGAACCAGGGCTAACGAGGGTGGGGAACCGGTACAAATTACCGGGACCTGGCGGTCCGAAAGGGAGCCCGGGACCCAGCGGTCCGGAACGGGGTCTGGAGCCCAGCTTTCCCCCCCTCTCGTCGGCCCTGTTTAGCCGGTCCACCCTTGCTGGGGGGCCCGAACCCGCTCTCGGTGGCTCTGGCACCATGCCACCATGGAGCAAGGGGTAGCCCAGATACAGGTGCCCCCAGAAATCAGCATTTCTCACAGAACGTGCCCAGCCAGAATGTCGTGCTCAGCCAAGCCAGGGCCAGCAGAGTTAAGGGAAATGCCCGCCCAACCGTACCTCGGCCTTCTTGGGCTGGCGCTCCAATATACCTGTGGCACCCAGCCCTGCTCTCTGCCTGTGCCCCATATGGGGCAGGAGCCACCTGCACATGCCCTGCACCCAGACACTGAGTCTGGATGGGCAGGAGCCAGCCCTGGGCACCCTGCATCCCTCTGCGTTAGTTAAGGGTTTGTGATGGAAAAAATGTTCCATTGGAATCTTCCCAACCAGCCCTAACCCTAAACCTATGTCCCATTCCCCAGCCCCACCTCTGTGTGTGCTTCATTCCCCCTTCCCCCGTGCCAGGGGTCTATGTGCCCCCCATTCTCCCTGCTCAGCACCTAGAAGTCCCTGATACCTTCTTTCCCCAGAGTGATTGGCTCATTGGG